AATAGCAGCACTAAAGTTACCAAAGCTGCACGGGTTAAACCAAGTGCTGAATTAACCTAATGAGCACATACATCCTAAACAACACTGCTGGAGTGGAACCAAAATTAGGCTGACTAGTTTTCTGCTGCCACCTACTGCACAAATAGCTGGTTTAATTAATAATTCTGAAGGGTCTGATTTTCAGAGCTTCTGTCTTGGTGACTGGAACCACATGTTATCTGTGCCACTCCACAGCCCTCTTCCCTCCCCAGCTGGGTCACACAGCTTCAGCAAACCACTGTTATATCAGAACACCAGTGTATTTGGGCCGCAGTACAATCAATTTCTCAGGATGCAAAACAGGAAAATACTGAAGGGAATCCTTCAGGGTGTAAGGGGTGTAAGAAACTAATTATATACAAAAAAACGCTGAATACAGAGAAAACATGGAATAAAGATGGCATATTTAATGCTTTTAAAAAAAATCCTTTTTAAAAATAATTGCTGTGGCCATGAAGAGGTAACATGGAAATACATTAGTGAGAGATTCCATAAAAAAGTCTGAATCCATTTTTTCCTCGGTTTTTCACTAGTATAATGCTGAAGTAATTCTATTTGAAATCAATAATTTATGCCATTTCTGGCATCTTATAAAGCTTGCAAATTGCTTTGCTTGGTTATTAGCATCGACTGACTGTAAGTTTACAAACATAGCTGCCTTCAAAGATTCTAATCTTTTTTGCAAAGCACGCCAGCTCTGGGTGCATGACTCCAGTCACTTGTACCCAAACTACCTGTAAGGACACAGCTCACATGCGAGCCATTGTCTTCCGCCTTCTATTTACAACTTCCACTAAGATGACAGCACATTTTTTTTTCTTTTGGACTACCTTACTTTAATTTCTATGTAGAAAAAAAAAAAAAAACAAAAAAACAAAAAACCCAAAAAAACACAAACAAAAAACCCGCCCACAAACAAACAAACAAACAAAACAAAAAAACCCAACTTTCAAGGAATTTTTTAAATTCCAAGCTGGAAAATGGTCTTATTCTCCCCCCCTCCCTCCCCCCCACCCCGTGTTGTTGATCACAAACCAACCTCACTGATGTTCATTGAAATATCTTCCCGTTTGTTTCCTCTGTTATTACTTCTTTACTATTGTCTTGCAGGTAAACTGTGTCTTGGAGGCCTTTGGGCATGCTAAGACACCCTTGAATGATTTTTCCAGCTGTTTTATAAAATATTTTGAGCTACAGTTTTGTGAGAAGAAAAAAACATTAATTGCAGGTAAGCATAATTTAATCTTGTTTATTTTGATATCGCCCACAGACTAGTAGATCAGAGATCCCGTGTTTGCTATACACAGAATTAGGCATCAGTAGCCTTAAACTTAAAGTATGTGACAGAGGCATGGGGGGTTTACGGGGTGTCAGAGGAACATGTTCAATAGCCCGTGAATTCAGAGCTTGTCAAGAACAGTGTTGATAACGGTATTAAGAGGGAGAGACCTCTTCTGTGCAACCACTAGGTGGCAGAGAAAGACAAGAAAAAAAGTTTATCGATTCCTCTTACGTTTCCCAGGAAATCACATTTCCCTTTGTGCATGAAAATAACAAAGTGTAACAGCTCTGTGTCAGTTTACTGTGAAATAAAAGCAACAAAGAGATTAATTTTTGCATTTCTATCTAATATTGTATTGGATATTTTAAGTGTCCCTTAAATAAGTGATAAACTCATCTGTTTAAGGCAAACAAAATACAAGTATACTCTGTAACGCTGGAATTAGAAGTAATTTATTACAGCTTTGAGCTTCTTCTAAAGAAACTAGGAATCATACTAATGTTTATTCTTGTTAGAGGTAAGATAATGTGAATTTGTGCCTGCTTTCAGAGTAAGTAGAAGTTTGCTAATCCCCGGTAAGCGTTCATTAGTGAAAAAAAAAAAAAAAAGAAAGAATATTGAGCAAAACTTCAGTTTCATTCAGAAAATTCTGATCTCCAGAGGCAGTCAGGGAGAATTTTTATTTATGGTCTGCGTAGGTCATTTTAAAGTTACTCTGTGCATGTAGAAATAACTATACAGTTTCCTGCCTGCACTGATCTTCCTGAATGCAAAAAATGAGTGGTGAGACACACTTTTAATCCAAGTAAACATTTCTAAAACTACTCATTTTTTTTGCCATTTCAAATGGTTTTATGCTTTCAGAAGAGTTTCCTAAAAATACCATTTGGAAAAATTTCATACTGGAATTATACTTAATTTTCTTGAGAGAGTTCACTGTACCCTAGGAAATAAGTTTTTTCAGTGATAATGTCAGTGCATGGGAAATGACTGTCACTTTTTTTCCTGGTTTGTTTTACAAATGTAGGATATTTGGAAAGAAAATGTAAAACTAAAAAGTGTGATTTTTTTTCATTTATGAGCTGTTGTGAGAGGAATATAAAGAAAGTAATGTAAACATTAGAATGGACTAAACAGCATCTGAATTGAGCTTGTAAAAATAAGGTTCAATACCTGAAACTAACATTTTATAAATCCTTTGAAAATTTTATAAATCCTTGTATTGTATAAATTTAAGTTGGGTATATTTAGTTATCACAATTACATTGCATGCATGTTTTTTCTCTTTTTGTTACACACAAAGAGCACAAATTCAAGCAGATGAAAATGATATTAATTTTGAAAAGTCAAGCATATGAACACTAGAAATGCCAGAATTGAAGTTGTCTGAGATACTCTTGGGTTTCCTTGTGTATACAAATTTAATGCTGTTATTTTTCTGCCCCACCCCAACTTTATTCAGTGCAGAGAATGGACTGTATTTCTTCAGTGATCTGCTACTAAATAGTTTGTTTCTCTTCATTGATCCACGTGTGGTTTGTGCCATTTTATTCTGTTCTAAAACCAGTATGCTAGTTTTTCTGTGAATTTTCTGTTGCTCATCAACATTTTTCCCTGTATGAGCATTTCAGAAACATAAATGGCTTCATTTTCACAGTACTTCTGACCTAAAGTTGTGTCATTCAGTTCCTCAGATGAGGAATGGAAGCCTCAAGGCATCATGGCCACGCATTCCCACAATTTTGAGTGCCTTGCTTGAGATTGCAGAGATTTGAGTTTTCAGACAGCTTTATCCAGACTTGCTAGTTTAATTCACAACCTTCATCTGTGAATGATATAAATGTGGAATCAGTCAACCAGGCTCTTGTGTCAGTTTTCTGGTGCACTAATGCTGTGTTTGCATCACTTCAGACTATAGGCATTAAATGAGAAAATCTTGGGACAGTTAAGTCCATTAACAAACATAAACAAATTACTTATCGGCCCTACTATTCCCAAATATTTAAGAATTGAATCAATTACTCTTACCAAATCTAAGGTAGCCAAAAGTTCTGCAATTTACAGTCAAGAGTGAGAAGCCCCAGTACAGCAGTAAAAGTGGTTTTTATATTTATCTAAGTTCCAGTTGTTCATACTGTTTGATTTGCGTTGTAGATGTTGCCATTTCTAGGCCACTGCTACGTATCACTTCTGGGTGAAATTGTCCCAGATTTACACCACCATAAATGAGAAAAGAATCAGGCATGTTGCCTTTGGCTGGTTTAAATCCCACCCAGTGATTTTCTGAATCTATTTGCAAGATCATTTGCAGAAGTATTTACTGTCTTGCACAGTAAAATGTAAATATGCAGAGTGCCTGATTGTGCCGAGACATGACTTTATAACTCGTTGGGCTGAATATGTCTGGTTTATAAACAATAATCCAGTGACGCTAGACTGCCTCCATCAAAGGGTTTAGGTTGTTTTAGCTCCTTAACATAAATATCTTAAGGGCAGAGATCCAGAATAATGTACTAAGGAAGAGGCATGCAAAGTACATGTGTACATTTTTATTGTAGAGGGCAAGCTCAAGGTAGCATTACTTGCATTTTGAGTGGACATCAGTGAAGTTCGTGACACCTTTTTGTTCATGCTGAAGTTCTTTTATGCCTAGACCCTGACTTCTGTCACCTAAGATTTATTCTTATAGCAGAAAGTCCAATATACCTTAATAACAGAAACATCGGCCATAATTTTCATCTGCAGGCTTGATGCAGTCTTTCTTATAAACTGGATCTTTGCCACAAAGTTTTGAGAACAAGGATGGAGGTCTTGAGTGTGGTTCTACTCAAAGCTAGTACAGATGTCTCTAGAGGCTTTATGTGTCTTTTCTGACTCTTGTTTCTGATGAGATGTGCTGCAATGTGGGGTTCAAATGGGAGTTTTTTTCTGCGACCAGTGGCTTTGTGTTCAGGTACCTTTCATGGCTTTAGTCCAATCAAACAAGTGGAGAAGGTAAAACAGATTAAGCCATTGTTCTTTGTGACTTGCTAAAATAAGGCAGTGGGAACTACTAAAAAGTCTTAACTCAGAACAAATACAGAATAAACTACAGGCCAGTGATTTCATTAAGTTTCTAAAATAAATTCATACCAAACAGAACTCAAAGACTGATCTGCCAAAAAATCATAATCGTTCATAGACCACAATTCATACCCACTGCATAGTAGTAAAAGACTGATTATTTATTTCCAGAAGTAAAATTGCTGCATTTTATTTTTATTTGGAAAGGGAGAGAGTAAATGGTCTTTCAGGTAAATTGACATAATTCCTAAGATGAAAGGTAAGGCTTCTGTCAGTTTCCTCAAATTACCAAAAAAGAAGTTCAGGAAGAGAAAATAAAGGCTGACAAACTTATTCTCCGGATTTTCCTGCATTGCTTTTCAGGCCTTGCTTTTCTCAGTCTTCACTTTTTGAAAAGCAAGACCTGTTTTTTTTTTAAGTTGCGCTGAAATGGAAGGATCTAATTTGATTTATAAAAAGAAGCAAAATGCATATTCTCCTATGTGTGTTATAAATATTGTTTATCAATTAAAAAATTTCAGATGTGAATTTCCTTTTTTGGTATAAGAAAGACTGCAGCCGGCTAAGCTCTCTGATGTGTTTTTGTACTGTTTCAGCCCTGAACTTCAAAATGTTATTTTTTCTTTAGCAATAGCTGTGTTTAGGACAGCACGGATTTTGAGAAAGAGTAATGTAGTTTCAAAGAATGCATAGCTAGAAGAAAGATTTCACTGGCTGCACTTCCAATACAGAGTCTGCTTGCTGGCTTTGTGGTGGCTCAGTTGATCAAATGATCTGTTAAAGGAAGTACAAATTTCCTTGTGCCTGTAAGCACAGTCAACACGGCAGAAAAAATGGCAGACTTTGCTCTGGGACTCTATTATTTTTCCCTTTTATTTCACACACAGATTAACGAACATATAATTTCACTTTATAGAAAAGCACATTGCCGTGATAGTTTTCTTTATGAGTTACTTTAGCTCCATTAAGGTGGTGCTGTGTTTGATTCTTGCTGATCAGAAGCTCAACTTTTCTTAACAGCTCTTCCCATTGCTGGACATGCTGAGATGAACTGTATTTAGCCTTATTAAGGTGGGTGACCTGAAGTACCTGAAAAGGGCTGAATTAATTTGTGTCATCTAAATAAGTGGTGTTGCCCATCATTAAAGTTAAATGTATTAATTAATCAGTTAGATGACCTCCAGTAACATTTTTCTTGCTTTTATTAATCAATGAATGTTAAAAACACCAGAGTGATAGTTATGAAAGTCTCAGCAAAGATCATTGCACACAAAAAAAAGCGATTAAAGATTAGTAATGGCCTCTTTTCAAATTAATTGATGATAGGGCTAGTTTTACTGAGAAATAGGTTACAAGTGCAATAAAAGATGGAAATCATCCTTCAGGTTCATTTATTCTGTTTTACCCTGTAGGAATGGCAGCCAGGTAATGACTGATTCTGATGAAAGTGTGTGTCTGGGCCAGCCCTGCCATGATAGGTTAAGATCGCATTGCTTCAATTTGCAGTGTGCTGCAAAGTTACTGGAGCCAGAAACATATCCTGCTACCAGCTTAATGATGTCCCATGTGTGCCCTTTTACCTCCAGCATGGTCCTTTTTTTTCATAGTGTAGCAACAGAGGGCTAGATGGCTGATACACAATTTCTCATGATATAGGTTCCATAATAGCAGGAGTTAACTTCTGCTTTTTGTAGGACGATTAAATGGGCTAGGTCACGTCTCCTTGGTTCAGCAAGTCAGCCGTACAACTCTCCTCTGTCAGTCCTACTGTCTCTTCAGTAGCTAGGACCCCAGGCATGCTTTTGGTTGCCAGCACGTGGGTCAGGCCATGCCTGTGCTGTTATATAAAAGAAAGGGTGGAAAATGCCCCTAGGTAGCATGTGCCACTGACCTTCCATACTGCTTAACTGGGATGTGTCTGGGGTAGTTTGGCTTGTGCAGAGTAGCACTTTGTGAGACTGCGCGTAGTCACACTTAGCTCAGCGATAGCGCTTAACTGCTGAGACCTTTCTCAAAACAATATATTCAAGATTCACCGGTTTTGTTTCCCTCCATTCTACACTGTCTTTCAACAATATTCTCACAGACCGCATTCCCTCATACACACAATTGCAAGTAACTTCAAGTTTGCTGTGTTTAACTGTATAGACAGAAGCTTAGAGCTCTCCGAAGGATACTTAGGTGAAATTTAAAAAAAAATTATTACCAGACAAATACAGAGGGTAGAGCAATAACCAAGCTGGCTCTGAATGAGCTATTGTGGATATTAGCAACTGTATGGTGACAGGAGCATGACATTCCGGCTTCTAGCCTAACCATTAGGCTAATGCAATTACTGTGCTTCTGATACACACTCTCACACACCGAGATCTAACCTGCATAACTTTGCTCGGCATTGCATTGGGCAATATCTTTGAGTCCAAAACGGATTCTGACAATCCTTTTTCAACTATCCTCGTCTTTAGAAGTCTTTAAACTCCCACTCTGCCTTCAAACTTCAGGTCTCTCAGGCATCTGAAGTTGCTTGTGCTTAGAAATGGAACAGTTTTGACTGCATCAAGTAACTCAGTGCAATTTTATGCTTAAACCCAGTTTGCTTCAAAAAAGTAAAAAAAAAAAAAAGTAAAAAAAAAAAAAAGTAAAAAAAAAAAATTAAAAAAACTTGAGCATCTCAAAAATGGTGTTTGTTTAGAGAACATACTTACTGTGCTACAGGATGCATGTACCAGTATTTTCTATCACTGAATGTTCAAGAACTACTTCTGGATCATAAAGGAAGGAGTCTTAGATGAGTTGGTTGTCATCCAGACTATGGGAAGCTATGGTTTAATATCCTCCTCTCCTCACAGCATTTCAAAAATTTAGCCTCTCCATTGCTGAGAAGTGCACCTTATCCTCTAAATTCAACAGTCTTTTCCAGGGTAAGGATGCTTGCTAAGACCCTGCCTGAAAGCTCTGCTGTATTGCAGAGATTGAAAAGCATAAATCTGCAACAGAATGTACCGCATCCTGGTGGCAGGGGTGCTCAATCATATGTGAAGAGACAAGCTTCTGGTCTTTGCACCACACCTAGTATTCTACATTAACCAATGATGAGATAAAGTATAAAAAGAGCAGGGTAAGTGGGAACTGGTCAGGTCCTTGCTCCCAGCAAGGTCCCTGATCTCTAGCTACAGTTAGGTGCTCCCATGTTCTCTTTAGCCTGCTACATCTGGAACTGTGTGGTGGTGTACGCTCAGTGGAGGACTGAACTAATCTGCCCAAAACAGTGAATCTCCCTCTGTCTCTTCACATGTATCTCTAAAACACCTGCAGTCTGGTGAAGCAGGTGAATCTATCTGGGGCTCCAAAATTCCCTCTGCCTCTATGTTATGTCTCTCTCAGAACCTTATGGGCCTGAAGTTATGTGAGATCCTGTAATCAGCATTTCTGTAGGCAAATCGTGGTAAAGTGCATCCTCCTTCACCTTCTTCCCAGATGTTTTGATTCACATGGTTTCTCATTTGGTCAGTTCATCATAGCCCTTCTGAGATGCCCATGTATCCCCAGGCACAGGTTAGTGATGACCAGTTCTGAGAGAATTTGTCTCCTTGTAGCCCTCTAGAAGTAGCCATCTAGAAGTTACATGGTTAATCTAAACTATTGATCTGAGTGTTTTTGATTACCAACAGAGAAAGAGGAAATGGTTCCAAGGCTAGTTTTTCCAAGATGTCTTGAATCTCTCCTGCATCTTTCTCTCTGTGTTAAGGAGCTTAGAATAGATGTGAGTGCTCAGATGGTTACACTTTGGTGAGTTGACTAATAGCTTGTCTCTTAGAAAGCCTTGCCAAATACGATAATTGGTTCCTCAAATAAGTAAAACAGAGTACAAATCAACATCATTATCTTTGAAATTAAGTCATTTTAAAGATAATGTAAGACACTAAGTAAGTAAGGTAAGACATTTGTTCCACTAATTTTCATGGAATTAGGACTTTATATGTGATTTATATAGAAAACCGTGGTAGAATGAATGGTATGTTTTTTGTACAGGCTCACCTTCGACTGTTTTATAAGAAACATTGTTTATTCTTCACTGTTGCAATGGTGAATGGTTTAAAATGTATGTTTAGAGCAATCAGTATAATGATGAATTTATTTGTTTGTTTCTCAATCAGCTAGGATTTATACATACATGTTGGAGAAGTCTCGTGTCATTATGCAGCCTCTCAACCAGAGTAATTTTCATGTTTTTTACTTGATGATGGATGGGCTGTCTGCTGAAGAAAAATACACCCTGTACCTCAGTAATTTGTCTGCACACAGGTAGGAAAACAACTTTAGTATTAATATTGTTCTTTTTTTAGTGTCTCTGTGCTCTTGAGGTCCTTCTTCCAATAGTGAACATGTGTCGTAACTTCTCAATGAGGTCTGAAATTATTTATTATTGAGTACCTGTTCATGAGGATTTAATTCTGGAATACATGTACACCCTCCTAACAAGATCAGAGTATTATATCCATTAGGATTATTGTCTTAAAGGAGACTTCTTAGTTATTTTTTGATCTTCTGTGGATTAGAGTAGGTCTGTTCTTTTTTTTTTTTTTCCCCCTGATGAAACGTTTTGTTTTCAGGAAAAACTGTTTTATTAAAATCAGACTTTTCTTATGGAATATGTTGATTTTGATGAAATGTCACTATATGTAACTGATGATTCCATTTTCATTTTTGTATTTACTTTACTTCATATTATTAAGAAAAATCAAAACAAAGTTTTGACTGCTTTGAAAATAAGGGTAGGATTTAATACCCAACACCTAAAATTAGGTCTTTGTGAATGTCTCCACATGAGCTGGCTGTCTTGGCTTCCATTTGCAGTCAAAGGAGATTGAGTCCCTACTCAGCCCTATATAAAATTACATGTAGATGTGTGCTTTGAAGTGAACTGAAACACATATGTGGCTTCATAAACTGTGCTGACTACGTCCCCTTTAATAGTAAGAGCTTAAATATAAAAAGCTCTATATAGACACCTAAATGTGGTAACTCTAAACCAGAATACACTCCTTAGGTTGTATACACTCCGAAAGTTTAATATAAGTGGAAGTTTCTATTTTTTCAGAAAATTTTGGGAGTTTCTCAAAATCTGTTAATTCAGATTCTTTTCATATTCCTGATTTAGATAATTTGGCTTTCTTTCTTTAGTCTTTCCTAAGAATTATCACTGAAATGAGAGAAGCCAATTTGGCATTAATGATCTTCTCTTAAATTGGCTAAGGTTATAACGAGTATAGTGAGTAACTGTAAAAAGACCGATAGTAATTCAAATGATGTAAAATTAGTGTTTTGAGCTTTTCGTATCAAAGCCCTTTTCCCATGGGTTTTTCTCTCAGCATTTCTATCCTCTACTCCGACTAATACTTGAATAAAATAGTATTCCTAGATTTGGGGCCTGTAAATAGAAAGACACCACTTTGATTTTTGCAGAAAAAAAACTTACTTGATTCTGATTTTTTCTTAAACACAAGTCTTCATACTACTGTTTTTTGGTAACTTTTAAGCTCTTAGCACCTCTGGTTCTATAGAGAGTAATGTAATGCGCTAGCTCTGAAGAAACCTGAAGCTAAAAGTTGTTTTACTAAAAATGACGCACTTCAAAGGTGGGGGAAGAGTTAAATTCTGTGTTTTAAATCCTTTGAAGGCTTTGAAGACCAAAAGGTTTCTGGGCTCACGATCATTAATTTATTCCTCTTCTAGCAAAAGTTGTTTGGAATCACTCAGTTTATTCAGAAAATGAAACAGTTTGAAGTCGCTTTGCAAGAAGCTCCAACAGGAAAGAACTTAGCAAAAACCTGAATAATTAGATTCACACGAACAAAGCTTTATCTGATAAGGTATCTGATAAGCATCCAAAAAGAACAAATAGTATTTTAAAATAGATGTCTGAACACTGCAGTGCCAACTCTTTAGAAGTAATTTATAGCTGAACATTTGCATAAAGCTGCTTTTATCAATAAAGCTTTGCTTTGGCTACATAGAGTAGATTGTATCTTGCATTATTGAGAGAGAGTTTGAGCCAAATATTACTTACCTTAAACTCCTGACTGTAGTAGTTCAGTGGGCCAGATCTTTCTTGGTTGATAGAGTTAAACGAGGGGTGAATTTCTACTGCAACAAACTCATACATGAATCAGGAAGGCAGGATTTGGCCTCTGTTATAAATTCATTATTCCTTGCTTAGTCAAATTTTGATGAGATCATATCATTCTGGTAACATCAATAAGTGAATTTGTCATGTTTTCTTTAAGCAAGTGTAATCTTGACTTTAATAGTAAATTTAATTAGATAACAGCCCTTTTGAAACTGTAGGTGGTTCGTGCCCAACGTTGTTTTTTTTTTTAATAATTTTTCTGTTCCTCTTTTCGCTATTTAATATTGCTCCTTTATGTAGAAGATTGAACAATCTTAGTAAATAATGGCTGTTAAGATCACAAGATACCCCTATTTTTTCATTGTTTTCTTAAGCCGTTTCAATATGAGAAGAGAGACATATCATTGAGTTTTTATTCTCATTTTAAATAAAAGTACCTTAAAGAGTCAAAGTAGTATTGTCAACAGTGGTTATTATTAGACTTGGTGCTGTAAAAGGTAAGAGGTACTTCATGTATTAAGCAGGATGTAATCCTGGATTAAGAGTTAATGTAAATAACTCAAAGGGGAAAACCCTCCCCTTTGGAGTCTCTGAGAGTTTCGGTAAGGTTGGGGTTTCACCCCAATGTATAGGGGGAGTTGTTAGGTTGTAATTCTGTGGTATTTGATGCTGTCCTGAGAGGGAGCTTGAGCTCAGAATCTTAAATATATGTTCTTGCAAGCATTATGACTGCTAAGGCATTGTATAAAGACAAATAGCTGGCCACTTTCTGTGAAACCTATATAAAACTAGGATCTTAAAGTAGCAAGCCATCTAAATCTATGTAGGGAGGGATCTAAATGAATATATCTCCCACCATATATGCGTGTGGGTCATCATGGATAAAGACAGAAGCAGTTCCTGAAAGGTAAGATCATTTTTTCAAGATTTAGCAGGGGGAGCATGTCAGAAATTGAGAGAATACTTCAAAAGGGCAAGTCGAGGCTTTTTGTTTGACAACTACTCCCATGTATTCATCACATTCAGAAGGTGATTTTTGTCAGCAGATCCTTGATTGAAATTTCCAGAATTTCTATTAACTTGGTGTGTTTCAAAAGAACTGCAGAACTTTGTTTGCCTGGATGATGATATGTAATACGGAATGATTAGAGATATGAAGTTATATTCTCAATTTGCTCTTGATTTTTTTTTTTTTTTTTTTTTTGCTGGGTGATGCAGTCCATTACTTGTAAGAATTGCTTTTCTGGTGTGTGAAGCTTAGCCTCATAATAGAAGTATGTACTAGCTTTTCTAGCACATTAAGTTTAACTTCATAGTTACAGTAGGTACTGCCTTATTGATGAATCTTGCAACCATAGTGAAACAGAGAGCAAAGAAGAGATGTGCTGGTGGTGATAGATGAGCTTGTAAAAGGTCATCGACTCTGGTGAAGAAAGGGTACTAAAAGGAGAGACCAGAAAGACAGGAAGAATAAATGTGGAAAAAATCTTACAGAAAAAAGTGGAAAGACCTGCTTTTACTATTATGGGCCAATTGTTTCATATTAGCTTTGATATTCCAAAGATGTAGTGTAGATAACAATATAAGAATATCTTTGTGTAATAGGTATATGTAAGATACTCAAATCTACTGTCATTAAAAATCATGTCATTACATTTGTATATGTATATTAGAAACGCAGCTTAAGGCTACTTAACTATAGAAAATGATTTCAGAAACGATGGTGAGTTTGGCAGCTATTCAACTTGATGTCACCATTTTCAGTTTAAATGAGGTTGCTAGTTCTCCTAGTTGATTGTACTGTTACGGCTTTTGAAAACGTAGGCAAACTCGATACAATGCTCTCAGTGTTGCGAGGTGATTCTGACAGGTTTTTTTAGTCCTCCCTTGTAATGTCAGATCTTTGTCACCCAACATTTATAAGTTGAAATGTACTGCCTGTAACAACTTCAAAATGAGGAAAATGTTAATATACACCTTCATGCAAAAGCTGGACTATGGTCAGGGGGTGCATTTTGTATTTGTATTTTCAGACTGCTGTTCACAGATGTGCGAAACTTCCCTTTCCACAGAACAATTATGTGCACTGCAGTGTGTGCACTCTCTGCATGTGCTGTTTCTCTCACCCCTTAGAAAACAGTGAAACTCTTCAGCAACAATAGCTGTAGATTAGTTCACACAAGTTGTGTATCTTCTTCTACAGTTTTTTAGTGCAGGTTCCCTCTTCACTGTCAAAAAGAAAACTTTCTGTTAATTTCTGGTATAAAGTAGTAATTTTAGTGAAGTGATTGAATTTCTCATTAAAATCTAAACTGATCAGAACCTCTTTGCTTTATCATTGAGGAAATCATCCCTAACTCTAAAGGATAAGGATGATCTTCAAATGGGGCTTAGAGACTACAGTGAGGGAAAGTGAATGGTACAGAAAAGATCCCAGTAGACATTTTTCCGAGGCATTCAATGCAAAGCCTTATGTGTGATTTTTTTTATGCACTTCCAGTCATCTTCTCTTCTAACAAGCACTAAAACAATTTGTGCGAAATGGTGATTATTCTAGCAACGTCTTTATTGATCCTCACTCTCCCTCCCACACAAGAGCTCAAAATAATAATTTTCAAGATTGTGGGTAACCGCTTACTGCAACTTTCCCCAATTCAACACACTTAGGAGGCAGTCTCTTCATTTTCTGACTGCTACAGATACAAAGCCAGGGAGACATTGCATGTTTTCATGCCTTCTGTCTTTCCTTTCTTTCCTTTTGTCTTTGGATGCCATCTTTCTTTCCAATTGTTTTATTATTTTCTCATTTAAAATACAGCAGACAGAAATATCAATCTTGAAAATAACTTAACAGTTTCCCGTATCTGTCCCATTTGTCTACAAATGTAGCTGTGCAGTCTAATGATACAAGGTAAATTCATAAAGAAAAGTTGTTTTTTAATTAGTCCCGTGTAATAGGAACATTAGATATTTAAGGGATGTTCCAGTCCTCTGATATTCCATGCTTTTTCCTGACAGATCACGTTTTTCCTCATAGGTATTCACTTTGATTTAAACTTTCAGTACCCACATAAAACCCAGCTGTGTCCATAAAAATTCACAGAGATGGTTACACAATACCATTTTGATCCCTTTGCTTCACAAATTACCTGTTGCTGATATCTGCGTCTGATGA